ATGATGATGATGATTTTATTGATTCATCTTTAGTTTAAAAATACAATGGATTTACAATAATGTCTATTAAAAGAGAAGAGCATAACTATAGGCATGCAATAATATTTACAAACTATCGGAAATTTTTATATACACAATTTGGAGTAAAAATTTAAAAGTCTAGGAAATTAGTAAAAAGTTAATAAAAACCAAGTTAAGTTTTAATGCAACCCCTGTCTCATTGCTCGTGGGATAAAACTATTTATGTGTCGTTCAGTGCCTGCAAAGGTGCGTATTTAAATATACCGTCTGTACGCCTAAGCCGCCCCGCAAGTTGTACAGTATAGAATATAAAGATTTGAAGAATGTATGAACCTTTTTATACATTGAAATTGTTTTCCTACCGTCGCTTGCAATTAGGAATGCAACCTCACAAGCCAGGCTGTCCACTTTCGCTTCCCTCACTAACACACTCCAGCAGAGACCATGGTACAGACTAGTCACGTGACACCTGAACCCACTTTGTCCCGTTGGAGGGGAGGCTGAAGTGAAATGCAAAGAACAAGTTTCTAGGAGTATTTATTTTGAATATCGTACATTGGATTGATCAAAATGTATGATCTACCTTAGTTGTTAAAAGAGTTTTAAAAAGAAAAAAAAGTTTAAAAAGTTAGATTTTTAAAAATGTTAAAAAATTTCAGAAAGTTAAAAAGGTTAGGGTTAGGGATTAGTGGTTAGTGGTAGGGTTGGGTTGAGGTTGAGGTTAGGGTTAGGGTTAGGGTTAGTGTTTGGTGCCGCGAATTTATCAACATTTATCATAATGATAAATTCGGACGTGTTTAAGAATTTATACTCATATAGTAAATTCAAGGGTGGAGCTCATGCTGAAAATTGTATACTAAATATCTAATTTTTCGCATATATAACAACCACTTAACAATTTCGTGAATATACTATACTATAACAACTATATCATGAGAATCTTAGAATTATTTTCAATGCTTGACCATTTGTTGAACTATTGTGGGTACATCAACATAATCATCCTAAACCTCGACAATTTTGATTCAATAAAAAGTGGAATAAGAAATGTATATTTTTAAATAAATTAATCGTAATGCCCGTTTTTGTAAAATAAGTATCTTATTAACATACCATTTTGACGCATGCCCCCATACAATTAAGTCATATTAAGTTATATTTAACAAATATAAAACATTTTCCGTGTTGATATACAGTTATATCAACACGAGTGGAAATTGGGAAAACGAGAAATTGTGTGGAAACACGACGCCCGAAGGGCGGAGTTTTTTACACAATTTCGAGTTTTCCCAATTTCCACGACTGTTGATATAACTCTATATCAATACGGAAAAAAATGTTTTATATTTGTTTTATGATATAGCACAAAGAAACATAAAGTAAAAAATTTTCCGACGTTTCCGTGTTGACATTGAGTTATATCAACACGGCTCTTAGCCAATCAGCGTTGAGAATTTACAAATGCTATATTATAAATGGTAATATTAAACAACGGTATATATTATGCAAAGTTGAAACAGGTTCAAAGTGTCTTAGTCTAGCAATTATGCCGATAGCTTTATTTATTTTAGAGCTAATGTTGTCAATGTGGTATTTCCATGTAAGATTACTATTTATTAAAACTCCCAAATATTTATTATAACAAATTCTTTGCATTCGATTTCAATGGAGTTGTCTTTAAAACAATGTCGATTTCTTGGGAAATTCCGAGGTTGCGTTCTTTTTATACACCCTGTATTGAAGTAATCTAATGTTGTTAGAATTTGAATGGACTGGCACTTTGCTGAACGTAATAATGCGTAACTCCGTAAGCCTTGTTTTAGACATTGAATTTCGGTCGCGTGAAATGCAACTAAGACAATAGATAATGAAGGCCGAAGCTTAATGAGGTTTATCATCTCATTATTGTCTTAGCACTGAGTGCATAAATTATACACGTCCTAATTACGCATTCAGTAATATTTTTTGTTAATTGACCGGGAAAAGCAAGACAAAATTTGGTTCATTTCTCGTTCAATTTTTAACCAAATTCAACCAAATTTTAATCAGTTCTTCCTTAGCCGATGGGAAATGCATTCAAAAATTTTCGTACGGATATGTTTGGTATTTCTTGAGTTATCGTGCTCACAGACGGCAAACACACACACACATATCACACACACATACACACATACACACACACACATACAAACCCAGATGATTACATAACCTCCTGGCGGAGGTAACAAACCCAGATGATTACATAACCTCCAGGCGGAGGTAACAAAGTATTTAAGACTTGAAACAAGTAATTAATTACTTCAAATCTGTCACCGGCCTAATTTTGAGCAAGGGTGATGCATCAGCTATCTTCCAGATAGGAGGAAGCCGTTGCTCTTTGAAAGACCGATGCATTAATAATCTTGGTTATACAGTAGGGAAAGCAAGGTATTCTGAATAATCTTCCAATAGCCATTTCGGAATTGCATCTGGACCTCCTGCTTTCGATGGATTTAGGGGCTGATTACATGGAGCGATTTCAGCCCGCCTACCCGTGCTGAAAATTTTGACGGTTACGGCATTTTGAATCTGAATCAGCCCGGGTAAACTTATCGCAGGCTTTGCGGGAAATACGAAATTAACTCGCAAATTTGATAAAAACAACAAACATGGCGCCTGTAAATAATATGCAAAAATCTGTGATATTTCTATTTCTCCTCATTGGATTATTGCTAACTTCGATAACACAATGTTATAGTATAGCCATTTTGTATCTCGGGAACGACGTTGATTTTGTATCAACTTCAACATGCAAAACAAAATTTACTGCTCTGGCATATTTGGGTACAAAAAAAGAAAATTGCCTAGAAAGATGAAGCGTCTGAAAATTCGCCAATTTTGCAGAAAACCAAGATCAGTATGGGTTGTTAATGGAAAAACTGATAAATGGTGGGAAAATATTGTTAATGGAAATGTTCCTGACAGTGTTTGGAAGAAAAATTTCCGAATGTCCCAATTATCGGTTTTTATAACAACTGCTAAGAAATTGGCAAATACTCTATATTACCTAAAGGACACTGGCTCATTGTGGATGACTGCCAATACATTTGGCGTTCACCAATGTACAGCTACCAAAATTATCACTCAATTATGCTATGCGATAAACAGTGCGCTGGGTCCAACATATTTGCACTTGCCGAGACGTGAATGAAATAAGAGAAAAAGCTTCAGAATTTGAACTCAAGTTTTGGCATGACGTAAGCTTTTGGGTGCATTGATGGGACTCATGTTGCTATTAAACGCCCGCCAGGAAATTTACAAGATTTTTTTAACTATAAACAATTCTTCTCCCTCAATGTACAAACTGTTTGCAACAGCAAAGGATCAGTTCATAACGCTAAATTGAGTTTGCAAATTCCTCTATTTGTGCAAACCTTATAACAGTGCAAAACTTCTCATCACGTAATATACTCCATTTTTTCCTGGTTATTATCCTATACTAAACTACATTATAGGTGATCTTGCATGCCGTCCACTATCTCGGTTATTTATGAAGAAAAACCAAAACTGTACGAACAATGTGCAGGTCATATTTAATTCCATGCTTCGATCAGCGAGAAACCAAATAGAATGAGCTTTTGGCAGACTCAAAGCCCAGTGGGGATTCCTTAACCGAAAAGTGGATCTAAAATTTCAGTCAATTCCGACAGTTGTATACAGCTGCTCTGTACTACATAACTATTGTGACAAAAATAAAGATTGTGGGTTAGATGAAGATGAAGTTCACCTACATTTTACAGCGGCACCAAGAAGAGGAAGTTGTACTACCTAATATTCCTGATCAAGTGTATTCTCACAACAATTCTGAAGGTGAACTTGTTCGCTCAATCCTTTCAGAGTACATCACACACAACTTACCAGATAATTATTTATGAATAAAACATGCATGCAGGCACATCTGCATGAGAGATAGTTGAAACAATGCCAGTTATTTGATGGCGTACAGAGATTTATACAAGCACTTTGTCGATAACAGTATAAAGCATTTAAAAACTCATTAATAATTCATGAAGCAATTATCCAATCTTGAATAAGAAATTAGTCACGTGCATACGTCTTTATACCAGCTAAAGAACACTTTAACAAAAGACCATTGTGATGCAAACTATATAAAGATTTTTATATAAAGATTTTTATATAAAGATTTTTTATATAAAGATTTTTATATAAAGATTTGACTTATTATGCAAACGTTTTTGAAGGCATTTAAAAAACTCGCAGGTCGTGTTTTATTAGGTCTAAAGCCACTCGCGCTGCGCGCTCGTGGCTACCTAATAAAACACTCCAGCTCGTTTTTTAAATAGTACGTAAAATACTTCATATCATACTGAAAATTTAGTTTGTTTTTGTTTTGTTTTGCTTTTTTAATTAAGTTCGCCCAAAATATTACATGAGATAATATAGTGCTATTTAATATTTACAAATGTGAGTTAGGAGCCTACTAGAAACCATATGGCTTTTATTTTAGACCCCTAGATTATGAATTAAAAATAATCAATAATTAATTGATTACGTGACAAAATAACTTATTGTTCTTTGTCACGTGGAGGCCAAGGTGCATTGGACGAGGTGTTAACATAGTAAAATCATATAGATTAAGCTAAGGGGAACAGAAAATCATCGTATTTAGGCAATTTTCTCGCGATGCCAGGGGCGAATTGCTCCATATTTGGTTGCGCGACGAGTCGAAAGCACGTTGGAGTAGGGATTTTTAAAATTCCTGCAGAAACAGATTAATTATCGAAGAAAACCCGCGAAGCTTGGATAAGTATTATCACGAAGGACCGCTCTGTGGACGAAAGTTTACGTCGACAAATCAATAGCAGGAAACCTGTAGGGTTTGCAGGGATAGAGTAGGGTACTCGAAAATGGGGGGAGGATACAGTATATGAATGAGCTGTAACCTTGGGCTGTTCGGGGGCATGCTCCCCCGAGAAAATGTTAAAATTTGAACCTCGGAAATGCTATTTCCTGCGTTTTCAGCCATGGATTCGTCCACGACAACTTTGCTGCACTAAGCCTAAGGAACACTTACTGTCCCTTATTTTAAACAAGGGAAAATCACAAAATGAACTTTGAATAATATGTAATTAAACAAGATTCCAAAAATGCAATTTTTATAACTGCCCTCCGAAACAACAATGTTCCACCAAATATAGCTCTGTAGCTTTTCAATCGTTCATACAGATAGCTTGTTGGCGATCGGATTGCATCCTCTTCAGAAATTTTCTAAAATTTAGACTCTCTAAACTGGCATTTTCGCATTAAAATCATCGTACATACAATACATTCAACTTGCATCCTGTAGATGGGCCTTTGAAGCTTTAATAGTTTGGAGCTATGTTATCAAAAAACGCACACAGACTCAACCATCCAAAAGTACTTTTTCTACCATGCATATTACATATGTATAAATAACTTATATACTTGTACATAATTATCTTAAGACCAGATTTTCTCAGGGGGGGGGCAACAATTTTTTCCAGGGAACACCACTGGCTATCGTATGTCAGAGACTCCAAAGGCGGTAGAATCCCTGTGGTGTATCCACTGTTCACCCCGTGTTCTTTTAAGCAAATGTGCCTGCTCAAAAATGCAAAATCTTGCAAGCCTGCATATGGACACAATACTGAAATGAAGAGCATCAGTAGAGTTACATGTAGAAATTTTTTTTTGAGCGGTCTCTTTTGCATGATATTTTTTTTCTCTTTTGTATGCTG